ACACTCTTCATAAGGAGTTACAATTCTAACAGTCTGCTATTTCAGTGTGCCCCGACAATACTGGTACAAAGTGAGACAGTCGAGCATCCCATTGTCTAGATATGTCCAACTCTTTCATTTGGGAGTCCAAAAAATAAATAAATCTTACCAAAAAAAAAAAAAAACTTTGGAGCCCAGCACAGTAGCATAGTGGCTAAAGCCCTCGTCTTGCACACTCTGGGATCCTATATGGGCGGCCCCACTTCCCATCCAGCTCCCTGCTTGTGGCCTGGGAAAGCAGTAGAGGACGGCCCAAGGCATTGGAATCCTGCACCTGTGTGGGAGACCTGGAAAAATCTTCTGGCTCCTGGCTTCAGATAAGCTCAGTTTTGGCCGTTGCAGCCACTTGGAGAGTGAATCATTGGATGGAAGATCTTCCTCTTTATGTTTTCTCCTCTCTGTATATCTGACTTTCCAATAAAAATAAATCTTAAAAAAACACTTTGATACAATACTTGAGACCTTAAAGGTAGTTTCATGTTTTAAAACATAATGTGAGATGAAAAAAACTATTTTGCATCTCTACCAATGGAATTAATGAAGAAAAGATGATGCAGACATTCACAGAGGAGGGAAGGAGCAGACAGTGCAGTATTAATTTCATAATTGGGCTGGGGCAGGTACATAGGCTAAGCTTCCACCTGCAGCACCAACACATGTAGGTGCCAGTTTGAGTCCTGGCTGCTCCAATTGTCATGCAACTCCCTGATACTGGCCTGAGAAAACAGCAGCGCCTGGCCCAAGTCCCTGGCCCCTGGAGCCACATGGGAGAATCAGAAAGCTCCTGGCTCCTGGCTTTGGATCAACTCGGCTCTTGCTGTTGCGGCCACTTGGGAAGCAAACCAGAGGATGAAAGATCTTTCTCTCTATATCTCCTTCTCTCTAAATCTGCCTTTAAATAAAAAAACAATCAATCTTAAAAATAATAACAATAATAATCTAAACTGAGAGCATACCAGATCTAATAAGTAGCAGCAAGACCCTTCCCTTCGGACCTCTTTATACTCACTACTGTGTCTTAGCAGAATGACTTCTCTAGCTCTACTTACCCTCCAGGTCATCTCTTCCAACCTCCTGGCTAAAAATAATCTACAGACTAAACAAACACCCTGACGTGGTTGTTGCACAAATCTGCATATACTAAAACTATTGAGCTGTGCACTTGAAATAAATCATATTTACAAATGATATCTCAATAATATATCTAGAAAGACGATCAAAACCTAATATAAAAAACCCACAAAAACAAAAAACCTAACATAACCATGCCAAATTTATGATCTTTCTCCCAAACCTGCTCCACTTACAGCTTTCCTGAATAATGCCAACTCTTTCTAGTCAACTCCTTCTAGACACTAACACACCAACCCGGTCATCTGGATTACTCCTTTCACTCCACATTTAACACACCTAGAAATCCAGCTGGCCAAGCCACAACCTTTACACCAGAGTACATAGCCATCTCAATGGTATTCCCGTTTCTGTAGCAACCAGAGTGACCTTTACAAACACCAATCAAGTGGCATTTTCCATCCACTTAAGCTGCTCCCATGTCATTCACAATGAGTCCAATGCTTTGGGACCCTTCACCCATGTGGAAGACCTGGAGGAAGTTCCTGGCTCCTGGCTTTGGATCGGCACAGCACCGGCCAGTCACTTGGGGAGTCACTTGCAGTCACCTGGGGAGTGAATCATCGGACAGAAGCTCTTCCTCAAGCTTAGAAACAGGAAACGGGCAGTGAGGATGCACTTATAACTCACTGGGTGGGACACAAAGACTAGTTACTCCTCACTAGGGTATTGAAGATTTCTCTGCACACCCCTCCTAAAACTGTTCACCTAAACTGTTGACATGTCTTGTTAGAGTTATAGAGGTAGACTACCCGAAAAACAGCTAGGTTCTGCAAAATCACGCTTCAACGCTATAAACTACTTAATACTAAAATTATAATAGATATGAGACAGCTGAATAGTAATCTATAGCCATTTTAAGGTGTATAGAACCCAGTTGTATATAAACTAGTAATTGTAATGTCAATGTAGAAGTCATAGGATGTGGTTCAGAACTTGCACTCTTTCTCTCTCTCTCTCTTAACATGTTGGTTACTCAATACCATGTCAACTAATTCCATTACGTTATAAACTGTTACTGATGTAATGTCGGGGCTTTTAATTGATTGGGATGATACTCTGTCGGCTCTAGCTTCAGACCAGAGACGGTCTCCCCAAGAAACTGTTGAATTTATCTGGACAATAAGATACTTGTCTCTATGCTTTGTAGATGCTTGCAAGGAAAGAATCTCAACTGAATTTGAACTGTGGTAATGCAACAAGAATCCACCATGGGGGGGGGGCGGGTTTTGGGGAGGGGAGGGGAGGGGAGAATCCCAGTGCCTATAAAACTGTGTCACATAATGTAATGTGATCAATTAAAAAAAAAGAAGTTCTTCCTCTTTGTCTCTTCTCCTCTTTGTATATCTTACCTTATAATAAAAATGAATAAATCTTAAATAACTAAATAAATCTTTAAAAAATAAAGTAAAATAAATGAAAATGCTACTTAAGGAATTAACCTAGGAACTTATACGCAAAATTCATCTTGGAACTCCAAATTATAATCTGTATCTAGTTAAAAAACTATTTATATACATGAAATATGATATGTTAGAAAAAATAAACAGTACAAAGTTAACAGTTATGGCTGGTTGAGTGGCACAGGGAGCTAGGCTGCTGCTTACAAAGCTAGCACCCAGGCTGAAGTGCTGGTCTGAGTTCTGGTCACTCTGCTCCTGATCCGCCTTTCTGCTCATGCGCCTGGGTATGCAGCAGGTCAGGTCCCAAGCAGCTGGGCTCCTGCCAGCCAAGTGGGAGACAAGGATGGAGTTCTTGGATCCGGAGCTTGACATGGCCTAGATCCAGCTGTTAGTCACTTGCACAAATGACAGAAGATCTCTCTCTCTCTCTTTGCTCTTTTTCTTCTCTCCTCTGACATTCTTCCCATTCTCTGTCACATTGGTTTTCAAATAAATAAGTAAACATTTCAAAAAGCTAAATTTCCCATGGTCTCAGGCCCTGAAATTACTGAAATTTCAAATATAAGATAGAAAGACTGAACTGTCCCCTGACCCAGAATGTTTTGCAATCAAAACTCTTTTATTGTTTAATCAAATGAACCTTACTTTTTTTTTTATAAGATTTGTTTATTTTTACTGAAAACTCAGATATACAGAGAGGAGCAGAGACAAAGAGGAAGATCTTCCGTCTGATGATTCTCTCCCCAAGTGAGCCCGACGGCCAGAGCTGTGCCGATCTGAAGCCAGGAGCCAGGAACTTGCTCCAGGTCTCCCACACGGGTGAAGGGTCCCAAGGCTTTGGGCTGTCCTCGACTGCTTTCCCAGGCTACAAGCAAGGAGCTGGATGGGAAGCAGGGCCGCTGGGATTAGACCTGGTGACTATATGGGATCCTGGTGCATGCAAGGTGAGGACTTTAACCACTACACTATGGCACTGGGCCCGAACCTTGCTTTTAAGCAGATTCTTATAAACTGTACATGCTTAAATAGTATGCTCAATTTACTTCTCATTTAGTAATCAGAACTACAAACTAGTACAAGATGATCAGTTTTGTTATGACAGGAAAAAACTCCAGTTTCGGAATTCCAACATTTTAGTTAATCTATATGGTCTCATCTTGGATAACTAAGTTATCAGCTACTAACCAAAGACAAGTCAATCTCTCAGGGACTCCACTTCTCATTGGTAAAACAGGAATCACCGGCCCCAGTGAGATAGCCTAGTGACTAAAGTCCTCGCCTTGCATGTACTTAGATCCTGTATAAGCAACAGTTTGGGTTCTAGCTGCTCCACTTCCCTTCCAGTTCCTTGCTTCTGCCCTGGGAAAGCAAAACAAGATGGCCCAAGGCCTTGAAACCCTGCTCCCACGGGGGAGACATAGAAGAAGCTTCTGACTCCTGGCTTCAGATTGGCTCAGTTCTAGCTTTTGCAGCTATTTTGGGAATGAACCTGCAGATGGGAGATCTTTCTGTCTGTCCCTCCTTTTTTTCTGTAAATCTGACTTCCCCATAAAAATAAATAAATCTGGGCCCGGTGCCATGGCCTAGCAGCTAAAGTCCTTGCCTTGAACTCACCAGGATCCCATATGGGCACCGGTTCTAATCCTGGTAGCTCCACTTCCCATCCAGCTCCCTGCTTGTGGCCTGGGAAGTAGTGGAGGACAGCCCAAAGCCTTGGGACCCTGCACCCGCATGGGAGACCCAGAAGAAGCTCCTGCCTCCTGGTTTTGGATTGGCTCAGCTCAGCACAGCTCTGGCCATTGCTGCCAATTAGGGAATGAATCAGCGGATGGACAGTTTTCCTGTCTCTGCTCTCTGTATATCTGACTGTAAATCTTTTTTTTTATTACAAAAAGATAGGAATCATCACGATACTTCAGAGCATCTCTGCGAGAAGCATATGATACACTCAAGCAAAGTCAGCTACATCATCATTACCAGTTTCATGCTGTACCTCAGGACCCTGGGATACCAAGTGAGAAGTCACCATCATTGATGGCACTGCTAACAGGGACTAACAGGGTGGCACAGGAGGCTAATCCTCCCCCTGCAGCACTGGCATTCCAAATGGGCATCTGTTCGAGTCTGGGCTATTCCACTTGCAACCCAGTTCTCTACTAATGGCCTGGGAAAGCAGAGGAGGATGGACTAAGGCTTTGGGCCCCTACCCCAAGTGGGAGACCTGGAAAAAGCCCCTGGCTCCCAGATTCAGCCCCCCTCTGGTCCAGCACTCAGTTGGAGAGTGAGCCAGTGAATGATTCTCTTTCTCTCTCTCTGTCTCTCCCACTCTATAACTCTTTCAAGTTAAATAAATCAATCTTAAAGACAAATAATAGCATTCTGCAAGTTCTCTGCCCACAAATAAATTCTGTGAAAAGATTTTTTTTCTAATCCAAGTTTATATCATCTGCTTTGTGAAAAACATACAAGATTGTAATGAGATTTGCTTCAAAATAACGAAGGGGAAGGGACAGAGAAGAAAGATGAAAAATGACTCACCAATCATTTGATAAGGGGGTGAGTAGCAGGAAGGACGAGGGAGTAGGTGTTATTAAAGTCTGTATCAAAAATAGCTGAAGGGAAATCTTAACAGCTGCTCTACAACTGATTGATAATTACCCTTCTACTTTTCTTGCGAAAACTTAAATTGTCATAATGACTTCTAGAATAAACCAAACCATTCAATCATTAGAAATCAGACCAAATAAATGAATCACAAACAGTATTTTCCATTTCATCCATGAGTTTTGCAGAAGCCTTGTGAATTCACTGCAGAGCAGCTGGCCCAGCTATCCGCCACTGACGGGAATGTAACCCCTAACACTGTAACCAAACTTATGCTGCAGTTATTTTGAACATTCAAGATCAGAAAACTATTTGCATCATCACTGTAATAAACAATCTGAACGTTTTCTGTGTGCCAGGCCTTATGCTTAAGTACACACATTATCCTTCTAAACCCAGACACAATACCATGAGATATCCTTATCTCCACTTAGAGACGTTCACGTAAGTTCACGTTATAGTGTGTCTTTGCACAGTATCACCAGTACTAAATGCTACAGTGAACCCTGAACCTACGTCTAATGTTAGTTCTTCTACTATACATTAATACCCATTTTACATTAAAAACAGGAGCTCATGAGGAGGGGAGTGGTGCCTGCATCCTGCACTGTAGTGACTGTTCTTGAGTCCTGGCTCTGCTTCTGATTCCAGCTTCCTGCTAAGAACTCAAAGACGTGGTTCAGGTTCTAGGCTCCTGGTCTAGACATCTGGACAGTGAATCAGCAGATAGATCTCTGTCTCTATGCCTTCCAAATGAACAAACAAAAACTTAAAAATTAATAAAAACACACTTTCACCCTGTAGCCCTTGACCCTTTGTACCCTAATCAACTAAGATTATTAAAATTTAAATAAATAAATAAAAATTGAAAAAAAAACAAATTAAGGGATTTTACAGACATCAAGAAAAAACTTTAAAAAATTAATAAAAATAGGTAAAAATGTAGAACTAATAATCCAGTCAAATGACACATCAAGTCCAAAAAAAGAGTCCTATCCTGAACCTGCTGACAACCATGCCTATCATTTCTGTCACCAAATCATAAACATTTCCTTCTGACAAACAGAACTTAAAACTGCGTTACTTCTCAAGCTTTTATTTAACTATTTCACAACATTATGTTGGCAAATATTTACCAACATACCAAGCACAAACCTAGCTGCCACAGGACATGACAGCAAACACGAAGCTCTGTTATCTGGTGGGGGAAGACAACAGCATGAATAAGCAAATCCGGGAATCCCAGGGCACAGAGGGTAAGGTACCATTGGTCCAAGTCCCGACTGCACCACTTGTGATCCAGCTCCCTACTAATGTTCCTAGGAAAGCAGCAGAAGACGGCCCGAGATTTCAGCTACTACACTCACGTGGGACATCTGGAAGAAAATTCAGCTCCTGGCTTCTGCCCTGGAAGCTCCAGCCATTGTGACCATTCGGCGAGTCAACCAGCAGATGGAAGCCTTCTCTCTGTCTCATCATTTCTAATAAATAAGTCTTAAAAAAAATAATAATAAGGTAGGGCCCAGCGCAGTAAACTAGCAGCTAAAGTCCTCACTTTACATATGCCAGGATCACATATGGATGCCGGTCGTATCCCGGCTGCCTCACTTCCCATCCAGCTCCCTGCTTGTGGCCTGGGAAAGCAGTCGAGGATGGCCCAAAGCCTTGGGACCCTGCACCCACGTGGGAGACCTGGAAGAAGCTCTGGGCTCCTGGCTTCGGACTGGCTCAGCTCCAGCCATTGTACTCACTTGGGGAATGAACCATCGGACAGAAGATTTTCCTCTCTGTCTCTCCTCCTCTCTATATATCTGCCTTTCCAATAAAAATAAATCTTGTAATAATAAGGTAATTTCACTGAAAATCATAACAGCAACTTCAAGGACTATATGAAATAGGCTGATCAGGGAAGGCCTTTCTAAGGAAGTAATACATTTTACCTTAGAACTAAATGAGACAAAAAAGGCAAGGACTAACTCTGCCTAACAAGCAACACAGAGCTAATGATGTAAGCTCTTGAAGAAAACAGTAGTTTAGATCTGAATCCTGCCACAAAGGGATCTCAGTGGAACATTTCAAGCAGAGGAATAACCGCTTCTACCTAAGAACTCTTCAGAAAATGGTGAGAATGAATGCCACAGTCAAGCAAGTTAAAAGGAGCCTGAATAAAAATCAGCAGACCCCACCTTTGGAGTATACCTATAGGCAGACCTATCTGCTTTCTCTCAACTTTGATTCACAGTGGACAAGCCTCTATTACAGCCAATGAAATTAAAGATACAGTGCAAGGATCTCAAGGACAGGTAACACAATCACTTAACTATACAGGAAGGTCTAAACATAAACCACTAAAAAATTTTTTTTAAATAAGTAGCACAAATGACATCAGGAAAATGGGCAGAAAGACTGCAAACGACCAAAAACCTTGGCTTCACAGTTCTGCGTAAAGCAACTTCAAACCACAACAAGCCCACCTGTGAATGTGAAGTTAAATGAAGATAGATGGGGCCCAAAGCCTTGGCCTAGCAGCTGAATCCTCGCCTTGCATGTGCTGGGGTCCCATATGAGTGCCGGTTTGGGTCCCAGCTGCTCCACTTCCCATCCAGCTCCCTGCTCGTGGCCTGAGAGAACACTAGAGGAAGGCGCAGAGCCTTTGGACCCTGCACCTGTGTGGGAGACCCAGAGCAGGTTCCTGGCCCCTGGCTTCAGATCAGCTCAGCTCCTGCTGTCGCGGCCAACTTGGGGAGTGAACCATTGGATATAGGATCTCTCCGTCTCTCCTTCTTTCTGTAGACCTGACTTTTAATTAAAATAAATAATTTTTTTTAAATGAAAATTGGTGGGCCTAAGTCCTCCATCACTGGGCTAGCTCTCTCAAAGGGTTTGTTTTACATTAGACAAATGAACAACATACAAAATTGCAACACACTACCCTTGACCATCTTAGAAGTTAAATTTCATCAGTCAGGGTTTTCACAAAGCCAGAAGCATTGAACTTCCTGAACCAAGGTGAACACACTTGCCATGATGCACAGCCATCCTGCAGCAGACACTTTGTCAGTCTGAAGACGGCAACCAGAAAAGTTCAGCTCAGGCACTGTATCAGCAAGGGCAAAGGCACACGGAGTTTATTTGCAGCATTATCTCATTACCGCCGACAAGGGAGAAATTACAACTGTCACTTGTAGAGTCCCCCAAGGCAGGGAGAGGGACCAACTCATTCTCACAAGCAATAAAGGCATGAAGTCAAAGTGGGAAATGCAGCATGCTGGCACGGGTTAGTGAACACATGTCTCAAACCAGAGTGAAGAATATGTTCTCATGCTGACAACAGCATGGCTACTGCTGCTGGACCAAGTACCTCCAACACTACCCCACAGGGTTAGTGGCAGAGTTAAATCCTAACTCCACCACTCTGCCAAGTGACATGAGGCAACTTAGCAATCTGAGCTTTGGTTTCCTCAGTTGTAAATGAGTGATTAAAACACCTCCTTCTCAAGGACTTCCTGGCATATCTTAAGACCCGGGAGGGGGGTGAGCACAGAGCTAAGGGAGTCTCTGGTGATGAGTGTTAATGTAACCGTTGGTCTATATTCTGATCTCACCTTTCAGCAGGAAAACAACTATTGGAAATGCTGCTGGTAACTACGGGAAATCTAGTCTAGTCTTTAAGCTCAGCATTAATGTTTGAAGAACCCCCACCAAATCTCTCTACCAACAATAACTTTTAACACAACTGGTTTGTGGCTTGGGGCCTGTAAATCAGCATGCTGCTCCATCTGTCCCCTAAAAGGTAAACACAAATAAAAAAAGAACACTACAGGGGCAGTGGCAGAAGTGGAACAAGTAAACGTTAGCTGGATGAAGGATGTTACTAGAGACACAGCCCAGCAGCAAACAAATCCAAAGAGATACACAGGGAGTTGGGGTTAACCCTCCCTGCTCAGCAAGAAGCAACAGTGACTTCACACTTCCTCTTGCAGGTTGGGAAATTTAATTCTTCTTTCCTAAAACTTCTTTCAGTAATATAGCAAAAAAAGGGGCAAAGAAACCACAGGTGAAGACCGAAAAGCACAGGAAAAGTAGGAACGGGGCAGGGGGACAGGGACATCATATAATCAAAAAAGCATGTTTCCTGTTTTGATTAGCCATGGGATCATACCCTCAGGTGAGTCGAGAGTAGCTCCCGTCGACACTACAAGGCAAAATGATGACACGCACTAGAGCACAGAGATGCTGCTGGGCCCCACCAAGCCAACAGGTGACAGAAACCCCGGGGACTGTCGGCGCCCGTGCAGAAACCCACCGCACTCAGCCAAGGCAGACTCTCCCTATCACGTATCCTCAAGTTTTTCTTCCCTGGACTCCACAGAATGGCCCGACACCTTCCAGGGCAGTAGGTCGATCTATTAATGCTGGAAATCACAGCCTCCCTAACCAGCAGGAAACCCAGACATCAAACACGTCAAGGCCTGTAGGAAAATCAACGGGCGACGCGACAATCCCCGCGAAGGTTCGTTCGGTAAAACCCCACGCTACGCTTTAACAAACAAGGCACCAAAAAAAAAAAAAAGGCATCTTCATCTCTACTGATTTGGGCCCAACGGCCCAAGGTCACACCAAGTCAGTGGCTTTGAAAAAAAAGAAAAGAAAGAAATTTCTCAAAATGAGCTTCCTGCAATTGAGGACAACCGTGGCTGGCAAGGGACTCTGGGCTTGGGACCACTCAGACCACAGTTTTCGACGGGAACGGCATAACGAAAGCGGGGAGCTCGGCAGGGGAAACGCCAAGCCCCCCAAGTCTCAGCCTTGCCCTCCCTGGCCGAGCCCCGACACTCACATCTCCGGAGCCACTTCATCCAATGGTAGACGATCGTGCTGTGGTGTTTCTTGTTCTCGATACACCAGGACGACAAGCCTTGAATGGATTCCATCGTGTTGGTGACCGACTGCAGTTTCCGATCCAGCGAGGACTCCAGAGCCCCCGCCGACGAGGCCGACGAGGAGGAGGCCTTGCTGCTGCCTCCGCCGCCGCCGGCCGCCATCTTCCCGGTCTGCACAAGCGCCGCTGGCTCCTCTGGCGGCGGCCGCGGCGGCGACGGCGGCGGGAGCGGCCGAACGATCGGTGCGTGTGCGTGAAGAGCCGCCGGAGACGGGAGGGCGGCCAGGGGGTGGGGACGGCGGACGCGCGAGGCTCCTCGGCCGCGGCCCGACACGCTGCCGGGAGCGGCTTGCGCGTTGCCAAGGTTTTATCAATGTTGTTCAAGGGCTTGTGTTTGGACCAAAGGGATGACGCAGAAAATCGACCTGCAAAGCCGTTCGAAACGTCCGGCCCGGAAAACGAATGAATGTGACGATACTTGGGGCTCTCGACGCCACGGCCCTTTCCCCACCCCTCTCCCCGCACTCCTGGGAGCGAGGGTGGGCGTTAATATCTTCAACGGAATACTACCCGACTGCCCTCCAATTGCAGAAATCTTTCTCCATTAGATTCTCTAGCACAGAAAAGGCCCCACAGCTACCCGGGCACGACTTTCTTTTTTTTTCTCTCTTTTTTTTTTGTGTGCAACGCAATAGCAAGCCAAGGGGTAGCAACAAAATCGCGCACGCGCCGCTAAGCCCCGCCCCTCTGCTTCCTTCTCCTCCTAGAAAGCCCAGAGAGGCGTGATGGCGGG